GCTACTTAGGAGGCTGAGGCAGAAGAATTGCTTGAATCTGGGAGGCGGAGGTTGCAGTGAGCCAAGATCATGTCACTGCACTCCAGCCTGGGTGACAGAGCGAAACTCCATCTCAAAAAAAAAAAAAAAGAAAGAAAGAAAGAAAGAAAAGAAAAAGAAAAAGAGCCAGATGTGGTGGCTTATCCCTGTAATCCCAGCACTTCAGGAGGCCGAGGCAGACAGATTGCCTGAGCTCAGGAGTTCGAGATCAGCCTAGGCAACACAGTGAAACTCCATCTCTACTAAAAATACAAAAATTAACTGGGCGTGGTGGCGCACCTGTAGTCCCAGCTACGTGGGAGGCTGAAGAGCAGAATTGCTTGAACCTGGGAGGCGGAGCTTACAGTGAGCTGAGATCGTGCTACTTGCACTCCAGCCTGGGCAACAGAAGACTCTGGCTCAAAAAATGTAAAAAAATAAAAAAATAAAAGAATCCTTTTTCAGCAGGGCACAGTGGCTCACACCTGTAATCCCAGCTACTCAAGGAGGATCACTTGAGCCCAGAAGGTCAAGGCTGCATTGAGCCATGATTGATCACACCACTGCATTCAGCCTGGGCGACAGAGTGAGACCCTGTTTTAAAGGAAAAAAAAGCATTCTTTTTCACTGGCATTGGCCTTACTTATTTGAACACTAGAGATACATTTCATGTATCACATCCTAGAGGGAATACTGCAGTATGGGTGAGGATGTGGATTCTGGTGCCAGACTGCCTGGGGTTGAGTCCTGGTTCTACCACTTATAAGGCAATGTGACCTTGTGTAAGTTATGTAACCTCTCTGGGCTTTGGTTTTCCCATCTGTAAAATGGGAATAATAGTACCTATCTCATAAATATGTGGCATATATGGTAACTACCACATAAGTGCTTGTAAAATAAATATATATATATATATTTTTTTTTTCTTTTTTTTTGAGATGGAGTCTTACTCTGTCACCAGGCTGGAGTGCAGTAGCATAATTTCAGCTCACTGTAAGCTCTGCCTCCCGGGTTCAAGCGATTCTCCTGACTCAGCCTCTTGAGTAGCTGGGAATACAGGTGCACATCACCACCCCCAGCTAATTTTTGTATTTTTAGTAGAGACAGGGTTTCATCATGTTGGCCAGGATGGTCTCGATCTCTTGACCTCGTGATCTGCCTGCCTGGGCCTCCGAAAGTACTGGGATTACAGGCATAAACCACCATGCCCGGCCAATAAATAATCAGTTTTTCATGGAAACAGTCTTCCTGCTGAGAAGACTAAAATGCAACAAACCATGAGTTAAAGTCATGATACCTAGAGAATATGTCTCTCATACACATTGTCAAAGTCTCTGCGCCCTACACAGTTCCTCAGGCTTTGTCAGATTTCTTTTAGCAACCATCTGCTACACTTTTCCATTCAAGGCTTCTTGGTGAGTCACTTCCTGTACTTTCACCCTGATGTTTATCAAGTGTTGTGTGTTAGTCCATTTAATGGGCAGGCCCCATTTTCTTTTTCTTTTTTCTTTTCTTTGAGACAGAGTCTTGCTCTGTCACCCAGGCTGGAGTTCAGTGGCACGATCTCGGCTCACTGCAACCTCAGCCTCCTGGGTTCAAGCGATTCTCCTGCCTCAGCCTCCTGCGTAACTGGGACGGGTGCACCACCACGCCTAGCTAATTTTTGTATTTTCAGTAGAGATGGGAGTTCGCCATGTCAGCCAGGCTGGTCTCGAACTCCTGACCTCAGGTGATCCGCCTGCCTAGACCTCCCAAAGTACTGGGATTTCAGGTGTGAGTCACCACACCCAGCTGCAAGCCCCATTTTCTAAAGCATTTCTTGGTGAGGTTTTGAGCCCCAAAGTATGGCAAACAGCCCCCTTTATACACAAATTAAGAGGAGGTTCTATAGTTGGCTAATGCACCTGTGAGGGTCTGCTGATGCCCATGGAATGAACACCTCAAATGTGCTCAGTCCGTGTCACCAGTCATCTACTGCATGCAGTAAATAGTAGTGGATAGAGAGAGGAGGAGACGTGACAAACAGAGCTCCAGTTCCTTCTCCCCAAGACCTCACTCACGAAATGAAAAATGAAAGGCAAGCATGATTACTTCAAAACTGCTTGTATAAATAAATCTATAAGGGCCGGGCACGGTGGCTCACACTTGTAATCCCAGCACTTTGGGAGGCCGAGGCGAGCAGATCACCTGAGGTCGGGAGTTTGAGACCAGCGTGACCAACATGGAGAAACCTCATCTCTACTAAAAATACAGAATTAGCCAGGCGTGGTGGCACATGCCTGTAATCCCAGCTACTCGGGGGGCTAAGGCAGGAGAATCGCTTGAACCTGGGAGGCAGAGGTTGCAGTGAGCCGAGATTGTGCCATTGCACTCCAGCCTGGGCAACAAGAGTGAAACTCCGTCTCAAAAAAATAAAATAAAATAAAATAAGTAAATAAATAAATCTACAAATAGGTGCAGATTCAGATAGCACGAGTCTATGAGTGCCAAACTAATACAGAGATCTTACAACTGGGCAGGGGGCCGGGCGCGGTGGCTCAAGCCTGTAATCCCAGCACTTTGGGAGGCTGGGACGGGCGGATCACGAGGTCAGGAGATCGAGACCATCCTGGCTAACATGGTGAAACCCCGTCTCTACTAAAAATACAAAAAAAATTAGCCGGGCGCG